GGAGAAATATTTGCTAATCGGGTATCTGATAAAGGATGTGCATTTATAATATATAAAGAACTCTCAAAACCCAGTAGTAAAAAACAATCTAATAAAACAGGTAAAATATCTGAACAAACCTTTTACCAAGAAAAGATAAATGGATGGTAAAAGAGCACACAAAAAGATGCTCATCATCATTAGTCATTAGGAAAATGCAAAGTAAAACCACAATAAGATGCTAGCACACACCTATTACAATAGCTAAAATTAAAAAGGCTGACTAGACCAAGCATTGTTGCCAAGCATACAGAGCAACTAGAACTCTCATAGTCTAATGGCAGGAATGTAAAATGATGCAATCACTTTGGAAAATAGGCGGTTTCAAAGAAAGTTAAACCACATCCAGTCATTCCACTCCCCCAAGATAAACAAAAGCATACATCCATATATATAGACTTGTATATAAATGTTTAGAGCAGCTTTATTTGTAGTGGCCAAAACTGGGAATAACCCCAAATCCATTCATGGATGGATAAGTGAAGAATACATTTCTTCAGCCTGGAATACAAAAACACTATCCATACAAAATGCTACTAAAAAAATAAAAAGAATGACTACTGGGCATGCAACAACATGATAAATCTCTTAATAGTTATCCTGAGTGTAAGAAGCCAGACAGACAAAAAGAGTATATACTGCATAATTCCATTTATATATACAACATACTATAAAAGTGCAAACTAATCTATACTGACAGAAAATAAGTTGGAGGTTGCCTGTGTATGGTAGTGTGGATGGGAGGGGTGAGATAAAGGATTACAAAGAGTATAAGGACATTTGAGAATGATGGATGTATTCATTATCTTAATTGTAATAGTTTCATGGGTATATACATGTGTTAATACTTAGGGAAATGTACATTTTCAATACATGTAGCTTACTGTACATCAATTATACTTCAATAAAGCTGATTTAAAAAACTCGAGCTGTATATTTAAGATCTGTGCATTTCATTGTGTGTAAATTATATCTCAATTAGACCATTTTTTTATATATATATTTTATTGACTTTTTACAGAGAGGAAGGGAGAGAGATAGAGAGTTAGAAACATCGATGAGAGAGAAACATCGATCAGCTGCCTCCTGCACATCTCCCACTGGGGATGTGCCCGCAACCAAGGTACATGCCCTTGACCGGAATCGAACCTGGGACCTTTCAGTCCACAGGCCGACGCTCTATTCACTGAGCCAAATCGGTTTCGGCTCAATTAGACCATTTTTTAAAGGACTCAGAGAAATCATTTCTCCCTTGACTCGGGTGACCCTCAGAATCCCAGCAGCAGCCACCAGGCAGCGTGACTTTGGGCTGGTCCCTTCCCTCCCTGGGAAGCTCTCAGTGCCTCTCCAGCTTTGATGTCTGTAGTTCAATGAATCTAAGGATGAACGGAAAGTCCCAGGCAAACAGCGATGGCAGAGGGTTAAGTCAGACCAGATTTCCAATCCAAACCCTGGGGTGAAGGCTGAGCCACTTTAAATTCCATCCATCTATCCCAGCATGTTTGCACAGCAAAGAGCCTGTTGTACTTAAAGTACTGATCTTGGAGCTGGGGCCAGGGATGCTGGGAGATGGCAAATATTGATGCTGGCGGCCTGGGTCCTCCCTGCAGGCTATGGTATTAAATCCCCTGCTCTGCTGATGAGAACCAGGGGCGGGCCCTGGCGGGCTGCGCTGGGCACTGTGTCTTTCTGGACCTGGCTTATGGAGTGCTGTTTGCAGGGTTGCTGGGGCACCTGCTTCTTTCCGAAAGGAAGAACCAATAAATAAGAAAAGAACAACTGCTGTTCTTCAGTGCCAGCCACCTCCAGCTTCCAGGCTGCCACCCCTAGCCTGGGTTTCAGCTTTCTCTTCTAGGGAATCCTGGCCTAGAAAGGGTGAGGCATTCAGGAGGGATGTGGTAGGCTCTGGATTTGGGTCTATCAAGGTTTGATCCTGGTTCAGTCCTTTAAAAGCTGTGTGATTTTGCCCTGCCTGCTGTTGCTAAGTGGTTAGAGCCCTGGCCCAGGCACCAAAGGGTCGTGGTTTTCATTCCCCATTCAGGGGCACATACCTGAGTTGCAGGTTCAATCTGCACATGCAGGAGGCAGCTAATGGATGTGTCTCTATGCCCACAGGTGAGGATTAACGAAGAATAAATAAATAAAAGCTATGTGATCTTAAGCAAGCAACTTCATGCCTCTGTGAAGTGCTCATAACCAAACCAGGTTCCTGGAAATGAGATACAAGAGACAAGACAACCAAAGGTTTGCCATGGTGCTTGGCATATGCTCGGCTCGCTAAACATTGGCTGTTAATATTCATTAATCCCCTAACACAGCAGTTGACACTCCCCTTTCTTTTGCCTGATGCTCCGCTGTTCCCAAGTGGCATTCACATGCCAGCTCTCACCTTTTCCTCTCCATGAGCCTGCAGATGGTCTGGCCATGATGTCCTTATTCCTAATGTACAGAGGAGGGCGCCTTCTTTGCAGCCCCTCCTCAGAGGGAGGAATCCAGTGTGTTCTTCCTGCTGAACTCCTCTGCCAGCTCCCTGCAGCCTTGAGCCAAGTTCACTCCCTGCAGCCCCGAATCAGAGGCTCTTCCTCAAGCTCCAGCACAGGGAACTGCTTCACACCTCAGCGGGGACTGCCCTGTCCCCGATTCCCACCTGGCTCCATCACGGCCCTGCTCAGGCATTGTCGCCACTGGAAACTGCCAGACCTCGAGACATAACATAAAACAGTGCCCCACCACAGCTAAGTGCTCAAACACCTGGCTCTGAGCCCCACAGGTCATATGCCCTGCAACCAGCTGCCTGGCCTAAGCTTTGCATTAAAACAATACCTCCCGCCTGTCCGGTGTGGCTCAGTGGTTGAGCGTCAACCTATGAACCAGGAGGTCATGGTTCAATTCCCGGTCAGGGCACATGTCCAGGTTGAGGGCTCAGTCTCCAGTAGGGGGCATGCAGGAGGCAGCCAGTTGATTATTCTCTCTCATCATTGATGTTTCTAACTCTCTCTTCCTCTCCCTTGCTCTCTGAAATCAATAAAAATATGTATATTTAAAAAAACCCAATAACCAGTACCTCCCTCAGAGTGCTTTAGGGAGGGTGAGAGGTACCGCTCTTAGCACAGTGCCTGGTTTGCAGCAAGCGCTCGGCAAGCGCTAATGTGCACACCTAGAAACCTGGCTTTTGCGGTTGTGACAGCTTGGATCTTGAGAGTATTATGCTAAGCAAAATAAATGAGACAGCAAAGGACAAGAACCATATGATTTCACTTGTGGGATATAAAACAGAAAGCAATAAACAAACACAATAAACACCCAAACTTGTAGACATGGATAACAGTATGGTGGTTGCCAGAGGGGAAGGGGGTGGGGGAGGATGAAGAAGGTAAAGGGGTCAGATATACGGAGACGAAATAAACTAGGCTGTGGGTGCTAAGCACACGATGCAATATCTAGATGTTGTGTGATAGAACTGTACACCTGAAGCTTACATAATGTTATTAACCGATGTCACCTGGTAGGTTCAATTAAATTTAAAAAAGAAAAGAAACCTGGCGTTTAGTCCTCACCCTGCTACTGACGCGCTGAGTGGACTTGGACAAGTTGGTTTCAGCCTTGGTTTCGCCCTCCTGTGAAATGAAACTCCCCCAGGGACTATGGAGGGCTTGGTTGGGAGGGGCGGGCAAAATGATGTGCAACCGTGACACTGATGCCTCCGGGAAGAGCCACAGGCCACCAAAGAGGCCTAGGACTAGATGACCACCAAGGTGCACCTGTCTCTTTCCATGGGCCCAACTGATGCACCACCAGCCCCCACCAGGACCTGGGTGCTCTCCTGCTGCGTGAACCAGCAAGGCTGCCTGGTATGAGCAACGCAGGCTCGTGTTCCCGTGGTCTGTCCCCAGTGACCTTGTTTTCTACAACCGATGCTCAGGGTGTCAGCAACGTGTTGGCATTTGAATGCTGAACAAGCTTGTTGTTCCTCAGGGACCAGCTCAACCCTCTCTTCCCCTGGAGAAGGCATGGCCCAGGGAGGGAGGCCCGGTGCTCCTTCTCAGGCCTCTGGACTCCCCACTCCTCCTCTTCACCCCCTGACTCCGTAGGTCCCTAAGGGGCATATGCTCCATGCTCCACCAGTAAGTAGCCCTTGACATGCCCTCTTCTCTGCCTACTTGGTCCCAGTCCTGGCAACTCTTTCTTGAACTGTTGTAATTAAAGGTCATTGTGACGCTGGTAGGTGTCGTTTATCATGCCTTATCTCCATGGTCCTCAGGATGAAGTGCGACCTGCTGTGCCCTCCAGAATCATGTCCCTGCTCACCTCCTCCTCTCCTACCATCCCACCAACCACACTGATGTTTTGGCCGCCCTGACCTGCTGGCATTCCCTGGCTGAGCCACACACTGGTCCACGCCCACGCCTTCATTCACATGGCCCCTCAGCTGGGAATGCCCTTCGCTTGTACCGGTACCACTGGAAGTTCTCCTTCCCTCCAGAACCAGCCCAAATGGCCCTCGTCTGGGGAAGAAGCTCCTCTGGGTCGGTGGTCAGAACCCCCAGGATGCCCGAGTGTACCCACAGCTCCTCACTTGTGCTGCAGTTGCAGAGAAACTCAGCCAAAGGTGCCAGGGCCCAGGGCTGACCATCCCTCAGGCAGGATCCCTGCGGTGCCCTGCTCTAGGCGTGGGTCCTCAGTACATCAGGGTCAGGAACATGGCGGTGTCCTGCCCCCCAGGGGCTGCCTAGCATTTCCTGCACCCCATCCTTCCATGGTGTGAGGTGCCTCCTCCATGAGACCCTGAGCTCCTCATGTGCTGGGATCCAGGTGTCCTCACTTCTGGGTGCCTGGCACTCAGCTTGGCCCAGGGCAGGTGCATAGGGACTCTTGGGTGAGTGATGAATGAGGCAGAGCTCACCTGTCTCTCAGATGCCCATTTTCAGTTCAAAACTCACATGAGACTGACACATAAAACTGATTTTATTAATTTCCATGGGGATATGTCTGTCTCCCTCAACAGGAACCCTGTTGTTGGCCAGATTTCAAGTCTCTCTTTCAGAATAAGGGTGGGACACTTTCTGACCCTCAAGCTCATTTTAAAAATACCCCACAGGGACTCTGCCCATCCCCATCCCCTTGGCCCACAAGCCAAGAGATAATTATATTGATAGCAGGAAAGGTTTCAGGGTTGGGACACCATAGACTATGTGAGAGTCCCACTGACTTTATTGTATGATCCCAGGCAAGTAATTTCTCCCACTGGGCCTCAGTTTCCTCATCTGTTTAATGGGAGCATCCATCCTGTCTGTCTGGGTGTGGGGAAGCTGAAAAGCTCTGCAGAGAAAGAGCTCCTTCACTCAGGCTCTGGGATCAAAACACAATCCTTACTACAAGAACCCGGGGCTGTATGTCTGGTACTGGTCACGGGGTGGAGCGAGGGGAGTGGTAGGGTGAAGAACGGAATGGACAGAAGGGCTTCTCTTTCTCCATTCCTTCTACTTTATAGCTCAGAGCCTCCTGGACGGCTTCCCACTGGCAGGATGACAAAGCCCCATCTCAGGCGCAATTTCATGTAATCAACCAGCAGGGCCAGGGAGGAAAATGAGGAAAATGCTAAGGCTGTAGCCAAGCCCAGCAATACCTGCCTCGGGTACCACAGAGACAGGAAATGGCAAATAGGCCTAAATGCCTCAGCTTGGTGTGTGAGCCCCAGACCTGTCTTTTCTCCAAGGGGCAGTAAGGTCAGGATCTGCAAGTCTGTCTTGGAACAGAGCAGATCTCCTCTGTGTGGCCCCACAGGCAGCCTAAAATCATGGAAGCAGATTCCCCTCATTTTTGTTAGGAGCTGCCTAACATGATAGTGAGCTCCCTGTCCCTGGAGGCATGCAAGGAGAGGGTGAACATCTTGAAAGCCAAAGAGGCAAGTCTTATTCAGAGACAATAGTGTGTAAATCCCATTAGGTGATCTTGATGGCTCCTTCCTGCCCTCATGTTCTTCGATTCGATGCTCATGTGAAGGATTACCAGTGCCATTCAACCAGCGTCCTGCTCGGGCCTGGTGCCACTCAGGGTCCAGGACAGGAGTACTCGTCAGACCAGTCAGAGCAGTGCTGCACACGGTCCCGGCAGAGGCTCCTCGGGATACAGTCGCAATACTCGAAGACAGTGGAGGGGCAGCGCCACCACCCAGGGCTGCAGGGTGGGCATGCAGTCACTGGAGGGACAAGAGCCGACAAAAGAGCAGCTGTAGTGCCCTGGAATGCCTCGGGCACCCCTCGCTCTGACACCTGCCATAGCTCCCCAGAGCCCCATCCCATCCGACATGGGTTGGCTATATCTCTTATTTCCCATCTTTCTAGAATGCAAGGAGGAGGTGCAGAAGGAACCTCAGAGATTCCCTGGTCAACCTCTGCTCGCTGGTCGCTGCCTGGCCACCTGCCCCAGCCCAGCCCGTGCCCAGACCCCCACCTGGGCTCAGTTCATCTGAGCAGTCCCCACAGTTGTTGGTTCCGTCACACTTTTGGTCTGAGTAGATCCAGGAAGCTGGGTTTCCACAGTGGGCCACAAGGAAGCTGGGGAGACTCTGGGGCACATTTCCTACAGAGGGCAGATGAGGCAAGAGGAAGTCCACATCTGGCCACAGCTGTCTCAGATTAAGATGAGGTTCGTGGGGGCTATATGGAGGTGGACTGTCCAAGCCACCTGGGCAGTTGCCAAACTCAGGGTTACTATGCATCTGTCCCAGGAAAGGCATGAGGAAAAGGCTTTCCTGGAGAGGAAGGAGGTCGAGTCAAAAGGAGAGACATGTCCATTCCCTGTATATCCAACAAGATGCCCAGAGAGTTGCCTCTCCCTTCCTCATTCCCTACTCAGCTCATATGCGTCCGCACCCTATACCATTGCCTGCCCTTTCCCTTCTCTAGAAATGTCCTCCTTGACACCCACCCAAAACCATCCATTTCAAGTCCATGCCACTTCCTTTACCCCCAGGAAGCCTTCTCCCACCGGAACATAACAAAAGCAAATGTGAAGTCTTGCACTTGGGTCCCAGCACTCAGAGGCTGTGAGTTCACGTACCTTGTGAGAGGGGGTCAGAGCACCTTTCTTGAAGTGGAGTCTGTGTTAGGCAGCAGTGTGGCACAGCTTCCAAAAGTTAACACAGACTCAGGCCACATCACTGGAGGTATAACCCAGACTTGCGAGGGGGAGAGCCTTTGCTCCTTGGACTAGCCAGAGCCAGTCAGAAGTATCATGAGTGCCGTGGAGCTGTCCAAGGAGAGGGGGTGGGCCGTTGGTATGTGTTCTGGGGAGTGCTGGTAGAGTGGGGAAGACCGCTTGCAAGGGGGGTGGCTGGCAGTTCAGAGTGTGGCCCAGGGAAGGGGACACTGATTTGGGGGTGGGGAATGCACTCTCCGAATTCATGCAGTGCCACCGTCATGGAGATGGATCAAGATGTGGTTCGTGGGGGGCAGGGGTTGATGAGAGGCCAGAGCTGGAACCAGTCAAGGATGCCAGTGGGAGACAATCCCATGAGAAACATGCAATGATGGGAGCAGCTGCCTCAAGTTGCAGGGAGCTCCCCATCCCAGGAGTGTGTAAGCAGAGGCTGGGTGGCCTCTGCTGGGTTTGTTATAGAGGGGGTTTGGGCATGAGCTGGGACATAACTAGATGACTTTTAAGATCTCGTCTAGGTTTATGATGTAATGTCCCTCCCCTCGTAAGCTCCCCTTCTCCACCCTCATCAACTTACCAAGTTCTCTCCCTCCTACATGGAAAGCGCCCTGGCCTCTCTCTCCTGAGAATTCATTATCAGGTCTTGAAGGTCTGGGACAAGACCTTCCCATTCATTGATTCACTCTTTCATTCTATCACTCATTCAGCAAATCATTCCGAACACCCTCCGTGTCCTGGCCTGCATCAGGCACTGGGACCCCAAAGTCAAGCCGACCAGGACTGCCCTCGAGGAGTTTACAGTCTGATGGTCACGGAAAAAAGGCCAATGGAAAGTGTCAACCAAGGTGACCAGGGCTGGGACCAGGGAAGCACAGGGGCTGTGGGAGCCAAAGCAGGGACCTGAACCTTGTTTGAGAGTCAGGGAAGGCTTCCTGGTGGAGGTAACACTTGAACTCTGCCATGAAAGTTTGAATACAGGTTCTCTGGGCATGGAGACGCACAGAGTGAAGGCCTTCCCTAAGGGGGGCACCTACCTATGTGTGCGGGTGGGGGCACGTGTTCCTGGCTGAGGGCCATGGAAGCGAAGGCCTGAGGACACAAAGGTGCCTGGTAATTTCAGGGACAATTGAGCCTCGTTTGGGCTGCAGGGATAGATGTAACTGGGGGGCAACCCCCAAAGGGCCCTGGAAGGCCCACCCAGGGCAGGGGTGGGACTGAGCAGTTTCTCCCGCCCCAAGGCCTCCTCTTCGTCCTCGCCGTGGGGACAGGTGCGGACGCCGTCACAGACCCCGCTGGCCGAGATGCAGCTCCTCCGGTCATGGCACAGGAAGCCGGTCCTGTTCGTCAGCGTCACACAGGCCTGGGCCCCTGAGTGGGCGGGGGGGGGGGGGGGGAGGCACGAGGGTCAAGGGTGTACTCACACGGGCAGCACCAGGTTCCCACCCCTGAGACCCACCTGAGCTGGACTGGGGCTGAAGCATGAGGTCAAAGTCCCGCTCTCCCACCTGCCAGCTGAGTGACCTTGGGCAAATGACTCGACCTCTCTGAGCCTCTTGTTCCTTGTCTGCAAATGGGGATCATAGTACACACCCGAGGACTGTGGGGGAGACTTACACACCCAGAACTTAGAATGTGCCGAGGAAGTCCTGGTTCCCTCCTCTACGGGAAGCTTATCGACAGCCTCGCAGGAGGCCCCCGGGGCCCGGGCTCAGCCGATGAAGTGGTTTTAATGGTGGGGCTCCTGGCACCAGACTAGGTTCTCAGAAACAATATCCTGGGCCTGGCCTGGGGACCATTAATTATACCATCATTCCTTACACCTGGGCATAACTTTACGGTCTGCAAAGCACTTTCACATTTTTATTCTCTTGCTTCCTAAAACCCCTTTGAAGTATCCTCATTAAGCCCATTTTACAGATGAGAAAGGGAAGGCTCAGAGAGGTGTGACGGGCCCAGCCACACAGCTAGTAACCAGGCCTGCGGACTCAGCTCTTTCCTGAGGCTGGGGCGGCCTCTCCAGCGTCCAGGAATGGTGGCCGCCATCTGAACATATCTGTCCTTCTGGGAGTCTTCCCTCCCATCCCACCCAGAGCTG